TTTCCCCACCTCAACACTGAATATGTTGCTTTCATTTTTGTTGGGCTTCTTTTTTTAAAATCACTTGTACAGGCCCGCGTCACCAGGACTTGGCTCACTTGGCTCACTTGGCCCATCATCCTTTGCTCCACTGGGTCCCTGCTGTCCCCAGAACCTGCCTGGCATGTCCCACCTCCGTCTCCTTGGCATCCTCTTCATCCACCCTCCACCCCATGCATTCTAGCATCCCCGGTAGTTCTGTCATCAGTCAGATGCTGAGATCCTGGGTTCCCACATGCTCGCTTGCTTCTGTGTGTATTCATTCCTCAAATTTGGCTAAGAACTCCCAGGACTGTCCAAGAAGTTGTGTATTTCAGTGGGTTTCAACCACCGATCTGTGGACCAGCACCAGGCCATAGAAGATTTTCTGCCAGTCTGTGGGGGAACTGCATCCCCCTTGCCACAGACCAGCACAGAGGCTGACTGTGCTCCACCACCTCTTCCTCGGTTGGCAGCACGTTCATGGGGGGGGGGGGTGCCAGTTCCACCAGTGGGAGAGATGGGAGAGATGGCTCAACTGGGAGCCACACAGTGCCAATTTCAGTATTCTGTTCTTTCCCTAGCAATTTTGTTGCTCGGTTTCTAGCTGTTTTGGAGAATTTTCATTTTTTGGTTTTGTCTTTGGAAACTGATGCACAGAATACTGTTGTATGTGTTCGGTGCTTTTTGTTTCTGCCTCAGCGGTCCCCAAGGCAGTTTTCCTGTTTTCGCTGGTCCCCAGCTGTGGAAAGGTTGAAAACCACTGGTGTATTTGAAGTACATCTCCCATCAGAAGGGCTGTCCAATACGCACACCATGTCTGTAGATAAAGAGTCCAGCTACTGCTGGCTCTCTGCCCCCTCCATCACCAGAGGCACCGTGCCCACCTGCACCACTTGCTGAGGAGCTTGGCTGGGCAGAGGCCCTGTGCCCATCCTGCTGGAGGGATCCTGTGGGCAGCTGGGTTGCCACCATGTGAACAGAGTGCTGGACGGGATGGACCTTTGGCCTACTTTCCTTACGTTCTTATGTTCTAACCATCTTGAAAAAGAAGGGCCCTGGAGTTGTTCACCAACAGTTGGCACCTGGACAGCCGCAGATACCCAGGTGTTGTACTACAGTGAGATGGTTGCATTTTCTGTCTGGATGATGGCCATGCTCACATACAGATCTATGGCTCCTTTTGCCCTCCTTCCTGATGATGCAGTTCCTGGTTTGGGGTAAAATGGGAGTGGCCACCCTCCAACTTTCCAGCCTCCTTTCTCACAACCTAGAAGCAATGTCTGTAGCTCTCTGAGTCAGACCTTTCCGTAATGGCAGGCTTTTGTTATTTATTTATACAGATTTAAATCTGGCTTAGACAACAAGGAAAAAAGGAGGAGGGAGGAATGCGCAAGGTCCAGTGCAACAAAGCAGCCCAAAACATATAATTATAACATTTCACTTAAAATGGGAAAAAACCCACTACAATGACCTCATTAATAAGCTGGTAGCAGCTTCCAAGGATTCATAAATAAAAAGCATTTTGTCTTATTTTTATTTGCTTTCCAAAGACATCAGGAATTTGCAACATTGGGTAGGGAAGGGAATACCAAAATCAACCAAGCTACGAAAGAGAAGATTCCGCTCATTCCCCTGCCCCCAAATACTGCCCTTTAACCTTGAGCATATGAAGCACAGCCTCCCAAACTGACTTGAAAGGATGGTTGATTCTCTAGAAAGAGAAACTCTCCCTCTGTTTATAGTGGCTTTGCTTACCAGTGTTCTGAATTGCTACCCTCTGTTAAATGCTAAGTTAGAATGTTTGTGAGCATTCCGTGACGTCAAAGGACCTTAGTCAAGAGCCTATTCTGTTTTCAGACTATTCTGTACATAGCTTCCAGAAAACATGAGGGTCCATGCTATTTTTTGCTGGAAATAAATTAGGATAAAATCGTATAATTTAGTGAAAGGCACATAGTGAGTCCTAAGACTTCTCAGCAAAATATCAGCATATTATTTCCATCACATTTCCTGACATTTTCCACTGGACTCCTAAAAATTACTGCTAAATATCAACAACCACTGAGTTTTATTGATATATTTAAAACATAGGCCACCATTCAATATGAACTTAAGATACCCTTAAGTTCATTTAAATCAATATTTGTGGGTGAATTTAACTCTGCATTCGATTACAGCAATTCTGTCCAGTTACCAGTTCTGTCTGGTTCCTCAACAGAGAGAATGACAATATTTTTAAAAGAATCCCCTGCATCTATTCCCAATTAACGTCCCAGTTACTCAACATCTTATACATAATATATGACAGAGTAGTCTGGTGCAAAGACCAGATGGAAGGAACTCTTTAACAGTCTCAAGATTTTCCTCCCTTGTGCGCCATCAAAAAATGAGGCACATCAATTCATGCCACAGCAAAAACTTCCTGCATCATCTCCTCCATTATCATGCTTGGTTTTCCTACCCTCTGGGATCCTCCGTTACTCTAATCAAGCGCCAGCATTCCACCGGGAAGCCTCACTCTGTACAGCCATTGATCAATAGTTCAATTACAACAATTATGCAAATTGTATTAAAGCTAACATGCCAGTTTGATTAAAGCAGGGGTGTCAGGCCCTTTTCAGCCCGCAGGCCAAATTTCATTTGGGGGGAAGTCTCAGGGGCTGAGACCGCTTCCCTGGTGAAATGGGAAGGGCCACAGGCAATTGGAACAACATTCCAAAAACACCAGCCTATCGTAGCTTCAAGCTCTTACTGAGTAAGCTTCAGAGGCATTCTGACCTTTGCAAATGGGGGGAAACCCATGAAAAACCAAGAAGCCACCAAAGAATTGGTGGTCAAGGAAAATAAGGGGGGATTTTCTGTAGGGAGATGCCAGGCTGGAACACATCTGGCTGTAGGGAGATGCCAGGTGGAACACATCTGGCATTTTATTTATTATTTATTAAAGCATTTTTAATAAATGCATGCAGGCCTGAGCGGCAGCGCCCCTAGTTTAAAGCAAATAAATTTACAGGATTCAGACAGCATGATAACTCATATTCAAGAGTTGCGTGTGTGTTGTTGAACTGTAGGTTTTTCCAGAAATGTGGGTGTTCATATTGCCGAAGCCCAGCTGCACTCGCAAGCCATACCTTGTTAATGATGGAGAACCCATGCCAAGAACCCATGATTTGCTGTCAGGGAGTGAAGTGTGGGAGGTTCACCATGACTTGCTATCTAGGCTGGGTTCAGGCAACACAGGAACCCATGTTTCAACAGCAATCCACACTCAATCCGAACCGAACCCCTGAGTGTGAGCAATGGTGTTGTCTGAACTCAGTCACTGCATTATCAGCAATTCTGATTACTCTACTATTAATCTCATTGCATGTTGCCATATTCCAGGTTCAGCTACTTGTCCTTCAGGAACCAGACAAGTGCCCTACCAATGAACATTGTCAGCAGGGATGAGAGGAAGCTGAGAGGCAAGGGCTTGATTGGCTCATGGATGCCCAATAAGGCTGTCATGGGCAGGCCTTCTCTCCCATTTTCCTTCTGCAGTAGAAGTGAATCCAAACTGAAACCTCTCCAGCCTGGCTGCACCCACAGGGGGGCTCTTGCCGCTTGCAAGTTGAGCATCAGAAATGCCAGACACTTAACTGGTCTGCTCACTTTCTCCTCCCAGGGTCAAGAAACACCTCCATCTCCTCCTCAGCCTCTAGCTCTGAAATGTCTCTCTCTGAAGCGGGCAGAACTTCCATAGACTGAGGCAACCCCTTTTTCTTACAGCTTCCTCGACACCACGTATTACTCCTGTCAGTAACCTCCTGTTCTTGATGCTGCTTTTGCAACTGCAGTACACATTCTAGCCGTGCTTCTTTTATTGTTGTTTTGAGTAATCTCCAAGCATTTTGAAGGCATTTGACCCTCCTGACTCCTCCTTGCACCTTTCTTTTTATCAGTTCCCTCATTTTACAGATTTTTTTTTATTTATTTGCTTATTTATTTATTTAGGAGGCTTCTATGCCGCCCCATTTGCCGAAGCCTCGGGGCGGCTCACATCCATAAATAAACTTCCTTAAAATAATATAAATTAACAGTATAAATGTTTCCTCTTTTGACATTAGCTCCAACGCTGTTGACCTTCTTTGGCAATATTCCACTTACAACATCAATTGATAGAGCAACAGTGAAGGTTCCCCAGTGATTGTAAGATCATTCATAAGCCTTGGAAGAGGGAATCAGAGATCCAACCTCAGACCCTTCCCTCTTGCTGAGAGAAATGCTTCTGGTTGCCTCTCTGAGGTCAGAATCCTGACCTTGAAGAGGGGTGGAAGGGCTCATTCAGGTGAACAGGGCAGGGACGAAAAGAGAGAGGACGGCTATTCTGAAAAACTCTTTCCTGCTACAAAGCACCCTTTCTAGCCAGGCCAAAAACCTGTCTAGAGAAATCCTCAAGGCAAGAGGATGGGGAGATGAAAATGACTGCTCCCCTACATTGGATGATTGGACTCTTCAGAGTTTGAGTCAAATCTGAGTTAAATCTAATAGCACTCTAATTATCATTGCCACCTGATTTGACAACACTCACATTTTTTCTGTAGGTTTTCAGTGGCACTGCTTAGAATTCAATCCAGGATTGAATTCAGTCCAAGTTCACTCCCCTCAGGTTCGTTGCATGACCAACAGTTCTAGGGAACAATATTTTAGGCACTAGGAAATTTAACCTCTTTCCTGCAGGTGGAGCATGCATTTATCCCATCAAAGTAGAAGTAATTAAAGTCACCCATTATTGCAACATCTCCATGTTTCAATGACACCCGGATTTTATTTGCCCAGAGAGTTCTGTTCAGGGGGTCCACAGTATTTCCCTAGTGTTAAACTCAACCTCCTACAAATTCAAACCAGTGCAAATGCAAACGTGTGATCATTTCTTGACATCTCCCCCCTATGTCTCATCCACACACACAGACACAACTGATTATTTCAACTCTACTTACAACATCGATCAGCTGTGCAATGGATAATCCAAAACGCACAATGACCACGTCGGATATATTGGCAACTGGCCGAGACCATTTATTGTATCCAACGAAGAGTTTCTTCAGGAGACGTTCCTCCGCATGGGCCCGAGTTTCTACATGGCTGAATGCTGCAGAAGAAAACAGGAAGGGAGAGTAATAGCAACAGTAATAACAACAGATGGTCCTTTGTCCAAGTTGCTTGGGATACTGCACAGATCAGTTGGGGGCCCAGCGGTTTTGTGGGATATGTTGAGCCGAGGGAGAAGGAGAAGTCCAAGCTCGCCAGGTGTTCAGACGATTCTCCCCTAGCCCAAGTCCAATCATCTGCACGGCACTGCCATGTACTGTAGCCAACTTGGTTTGGCTATGGTGGCTGCGAGGCCTCAGGCATGCCGGAAATCACCACAGGGCTTTGTCCAGTTCCAGGAATGCTCTCCACCCACATCAGCAAAAGCAGCTCTGAGAACTGCATGGTGGCAAGTTTGTGCAGCCAGTTTGCAAGGAGTGAAGTTACCAGTGATGAGAATGAAGGCCTCTGTATGCCTTGAGTCTTTCAGGACTCATTTTCACCTGAAACTTAACCACTGATTGGAACGCTTTCCCTTTTTGAAAGTTTTCAAGGTATAGCAAGTTAGAACCAAACCCATGCCAGCTTTCATAGAATCACAGGATCATAGAATAGTAGAGTTGGAAGGGGTCATGAAGGCCATCAGGTCCAACCCCTGCTCTTGCAGGACACCGTGTTACACCATCCCACCCAGGTGGCTGTCCAGTTTCTTCTTGAAAGTCCCCAGTGTGGGAGAGCCACCACCTCTCCAGGCAGCTGGTCCCACTGTTGCATTGCTCTGACAGTGAGGAAGCTTTTCCTGATGTCCAGCCTGAATCTGGCTTGCCGCAACTTGAATGGATTGCTGGTCCCTCATGAAAATCCATTCGCTAGACTTAGTAAACCTGTCAGAAAGCTGTTTCAGTGCTTTAAAATGTCCATAATTCTGGGAATAATCTGGCTTAAATAGGCCAAATGCATGTTCATGGAACTCCTGTGGGTCAGTGACCAGAGAGAAAAGCTTGAATTAGAACTGTAAACCTAAACGGAGCTGCTAGGAAGCAAATGTTGCAGAACGCAGTGGAATCTTTGGTGATTTGTTATTGCTGCTTCTGCTACAACGACTCTTAGCTCTAGTTGAAAAAAGAGGTGGGGGTTCTAAGGAGAGAGATGGGAGTAACAGTGACCATGTGGGACTACTCATTATGTATAACGTGTTTTTTACTGTCCTTCTTGATGTATGCTTAGTATATCGTGTCAGACAAAGCTTTGGAATGGGCTATAAGAGATCCCGGTTTTGCAATGGAATATCTGCATAGCACTCATCTTCCAGACTCAGTTCCCCATCTGTAAACCAGGAATACTAGCCAGCCCTTCCCACCAGTACCAGTACTTGGCATGGGGAAGTACCAGTAAAGGTCTTGCAATGTGACCAAGCATTTGCAGATCTGAAGCGCTACTCAAGTGATAAATATTCATGGAAAGATTGGCCAGTTTGGGCAGCAGGAGGGTGAGATTTGCAGTGACATAATTCCTTTGAACTGGTCCTTCTCGGTCGCTTTCTTCTCCTTGAGCACTTATAGGAAACTGATAATCTGCTCCTCGGTGAGATTTTAAATCAAGGACACCGTCCCTGTTCTTTGGTAAGTCTTCCAAAGTTTGAGGCAGCTGCTGAACCATTAAGAGAGATCCCTGGAGTGCACCTTGGCTCCTTTCGGGAAACAAACAAATAAATAAATAAAGTTGCACTGTGCCTTGCCGAGAAACTGCCAAGAGAAAGCGTTTGCTTTTTGCAGACAGTAGCCAAAGGCAGGCAGGCAGGCAGGCAAGGAGCAGGATGCAGAGCTAACTTGCTCATTCTAGCACCGCCGTACATGTGTCTGCTCTGGGCAAGCCCCATGCAATTCAGTGGGGCTTCCTCCAAAGGCAAGCGCATCTAGGAATGGAACCAGCTAGTAGAAACATTGGTCTAATGAAAGCCAATGAAACTGCTCCAAAGTAAGCAAGCAAAACAAGCCTCACGGCCACAGTTTCCTCTCGGTCTCCCAGTTGCAGCATCCAAGCAGCAAAGCTGTTCGCTCTTTAAGCCTGCCTGAGAGCTCATCTTTTCTTTTAAAAAGGTGGGGAGGGGAAGGGAAAAAGTGGCAGGCTTTCATGGAATGGAAGAGAGAGAACTTGGGCTACATCTGGGGGTGGTAGGAGTACATTAAAACACTGCAGGGGGGAGGGGGGGAGACAGAGGAGATTCTCAGAAGGAGGGAGGGAAAGGAATGGAAAAAGAGACCTGACAATCAGAAATGATCGTTATATTTCAAGCCAAGGCACACGGATGCCTCTCCAGCACATTTTTTTTTCTTTTTGAGTTATTGCGTGCAGCTTGGAGTGCAAAGCAAAGGGTGCATTAAGCATCAGTGACTGCTTGGTAGTGTGCCTATTTATTGTACTGAAGGGGTTGGAGTCCTGCCTTTTTAGGGTAAAAATCTCTTACAGAATATACCATTCATTTGGCACATTCTGCATGTTCTAAACTGCACCATGTATATCAAGCTACAATGCAAGCTTTGCTAAGGACAACTCTGCAAGGTGGGTCAGAATTATTCCCTCTTTATTGCAGAGCAGGGAGAAGCTGAGGCTGAGAGAAGTGTGTTGCTCGCATCTTCCTAGAGAGTTCACAACCCAGGTGAAATGCCTCATTTATAAGCTGTTTGCACTCTAAACCATCATTCTGCTCTACGCTGGAGACAAAAGCCCTGTCCTGAGGGAATGAGTCTCTCTGCCTTGGTATCAAGCCATCTGACATGGGTATCTCGATGCCCGCAGCTCTGGTTGTTCAGGAGCAAGACAACTGCACTCTGCAAATGCTCTGGAGACAGGGCTTCCCCTGCCACTTGGTGGGCCCACTTGGGTAGCCCTTTGGATCTGCAAATGCTTGGTCACACTGCAATATTTTTACTGGTACACAATCCAAAACAACTGCAACTTGGAGACAGCCTTTTCCAACCAGGCAAACTCCAGGCATGTTGGACTGCAACTCCCATCATTCCCAACAGGGGGATGGGAGTGATGGTCCAACATATCTGGTGGGTACTGGATTGGGCAGACCAAGCAAGATATATGGTCTGGCACAATGGAGGGAACCATCATCCGTATTCCAGAAGACCTCCATGAAGTTATCCTCAAAGCTGTCAATCATTACAGCATAGCAAGAGGTTTCCTGCACATGTAGAACAATGAACCAAGCCTAATTTGACATCGTCTTCATCTACAGCCTTGCTGAAGCCGGGCTGCAAACCTTGGAGAGTGCTGGAACATGCTGAGGTGGCATGATAGTCTTGAGGGACCCAAGCATAACCCAGGAATCTTAAAGCACATGCTTTGTATGAAGACGGTCCAAGATTCATCTCTCGTCAAGGGGACCAGGTAGCAAATGGCAGGAAAGCCCCTGCTGCTGATCCAGCAGAATAAGGCAAAGCTAGATTGACCAAAGATCACTCCTGTGTTATTCCCTCTGCAATTGCTAATTGGTTCAGCAATGCGCTTAGTCCAGTCTCAGCCTGGTGAAGGCAGCACAATAACCCACAGCTGAGTATGGGTTGTTGCTGAACCATGGACTGATCATAGTTGTCTGAACCAGCAGAGATGAGAAAGCATGAAAAACAGCCCACAGTTCACCAGCCAACAACAAGTCACAGCTTCCCTTTGTTAGGTTCTTTATGGTTGGCAACCCACATCTTGTTAGCACAATTAGGTTCAGGCCACCGGATCAACCCGTGTTGCAGCAACAACCCGTGGTTTATCAACAACCCACACTCAACCCGTATCCAGCCCTTGAGTGTGGGCTATTGTGACTGAACTCATTCTGTTTAAGCTACCTCTTCAGGTTGTTGTGAAGATAAAACGGGAGAGCTCCCACCATGCTATCCTGAATTCCTTGCAGGAAGGACAGCTCAGCCCCGTGAGAAGGGGCATTTCAGAACACGTAGAGTGGAGAGGACCTGGATCAGCCACAAGGCTGCTCTTGGATCAGGCACTGCCTCTCTGCCTTCCCTACCTTGCTGGGTTTACCATTCTTGGTGCTGCTCCCCTTAACTTCCCAAACCTCCTCAAAAGAATTCAATGCAACGAAAGAGCCACTGAACATATGCTAAGTGCAATCTTTCCTTTACCGCCGAGTATCCCCAATCAGCCCTAATTTTTTACAATAATTAAATTGCTGGTATTATTCCAGGGAGACCGAGACCAATCTTTTTCAGACAAACATCTGAGGGCGCGCGAATGGATGGTCGTGCAGGCGCGTGGGAGGAAATCATTCCGCCAGAGCGCCTAATTGCTGCCACGAGACGCGGGGACCGCCGGGGCTGCTGCTCGGGACGGGGAAAACCAGCGGCGCAGACATGGGGACTTACCAGAGAAGAAGTTTGCGCAGAGCAGCAAGAGAAGATGCTCCGGAAACGCGAGAAATCCCATGGTGGAGCGCCCGGGGCGGCGCAGACCAGCCTCTCCCCCGCTCCGGTCAGCGCGCCAGTGCCTTCCTCGTCGCCCTCGGCCCCTTCGCCGTCCTCACGGGGCCCCGATCCATCACTTCCCGCACAAGCTGCTTCCGCGATCTGGCCCGATCCCCCTGGCCGTGGCACGGACGGGGCTCGGATCGGGTCCGACACCGCCGCCTCGTCCGCCACGCCCGCTCCAAGTGAACGAATAAATAAATGAACGCACGCGGAAGGGAGGAACAAAAGCACCCCAAGAGCGGCTGGTCCTCCGTATCTTCGGGATGGTCCCTCTTTGGCACGACTTCCGATGCTGGAAAACAAGCCTGCGCCCCAGTCCCGAGCGCCGGGGTGCAGCGGCTCCGGGCGGCTCCGCGGGTCTGGCGTCGCTGGTGCCCCGGCCGGCTTCCGCGCTCCGCCCTCGCCTGCCCCGCTCCGGCTCGGCGGGCGTTCGCTGAGTCCGAGGGACCGAGGGATTCCCTCTCCCGCTTCAGCCACCTCGGGGCCGCCGCCGCCGCCGCCGCCGCCGCGTCTCCCCCCCTGAATTCTCGGCGCACAGGCTGGAGCGAAGGCAATCGCGGGAGCCCCGCGCCTGTGTGTGTTTGCGCCGGCAGGAGCGACCCTCTTCGTCTTCTTGGCGGGGGAGGGGGGCGGCAGAGCGAGCGGGGAGGGGGAGGAGGAAGAGGAGGAGGAAGAGGAGGAAGGAGGGAGGGAGATTCCACACGAGGGCCGCAAAAACTCCAAGAGGGACGGAGACCACATTTCCAGAATCGGGGCTACGGGGTCTGGAGTTAGACCCCAACAGATTAAAACCCGACACAGAACCGCGCTTTTGCACTGCTCTTTAGCGCGGCGCCAGCGTCTGGCTTCCACGTTAGCGCAGCGCTGTACCCACTCCGGGTTTCAGCCTGAACTTTAGAGGAGCTGTCCATGGTGTTGAACCATGCTGCCCCACGGACTTGGGAGCTGACCACCCACACACATCAATTTAAACAATCTTTGGCTCACAGCCGGCTTTCTCCTGCTAAATCTCCTGGCGATGCCCACATGCAAGCGGCAGAAGGCGCTTCCCCCCATGCGGGGAGGGGGGTGTTCTCTGTTTCCCTCCGAGGCTGCTGGCTCCGATAGCAGTGGGGCATTGGAGACATTCTGGTTTCCAGTCGGGCTTTTAAGGAACTGTTCATGGTGCTGAACCATCAGCCCATGGTTCCCGTTGACTGTGGAGCCATCAGCCTCCACTGCATTAATGCTGTATCAAACACGCACACAAACACAGACCAATTTAAAAATACTGGCTTGAAGCTGGAATGCAACCTGGTGCGTGGTTTACTGAGAAAGCCCTCTGAGACCCATGGGACCTGATGCCCCATATTTATATATTGCCCTTTCACTAGGTATGTTAGGGCTCTTCTTATTAAGAAGCATGTATGAGAGAGGAGAAGGAATTTCTCTTTAAGCTGTTATCTCCCACCTGTAGTTGCTGTAAGTAGCAATTCAGTTTCTCCCCCAGGATGCCAGGTGGGCTGCGCTCCCTGCCAGTCACCCATCCAGACCCTGACCAGACCCAGATCCACTCGACTCCATCACAGAGTCTTCACCGGGTGTGTTCAGGCCATGCAATCCGAGAGCAGTGCCTGTACTTCAACCCACTGTTAGATGATCCTCCTAATTAGTTGACTAACCACATCAGTGCATAACAAAGATAATAAATGCATGCACTTTCTCTTTTCACAAGAAGAGTTTCCCTCCTTCTAAGCCTCTGCCTTGTAGATTTCAGAGGAGGTTTGACCAAGAAAAAGAACAGCTGTTCCTTTGCTTCCAAAATTTACAAACACTCTTTGAACCAGCCCTGAAGGTCATCCACCTACGGGGTGGAGCAAAGTGGACTTCTCGCACTCCACAAGGCAGGACATGCAGCAAGAGACTCAATTCATAAGGAAGTGCATTTCAGCTAGAACATTCAGGAGAACTCCTGGATGGCCCCCGCGCTTTCCATGCCTTAGTAGGATGCTCCCTGCGTCAGCAGCAGGGTTGGCCTAGATGCCATTTGTGGGACCTTCCAGTGCTGCAGTTCTTTGGCAGTGGATGGGAGACATGAGGATGAGTCTTCCCACGGATGTCTTGAAAATGGCTGCATCCAGACAGTTCCATTGCTACCAGCAAAGAAATTATTATTATTATTATTATTATTATTATTATTATTATTATTATTATTATAATAACATTTCTATGCCGCCCTTTGCCGAAACCTCGGGGCGGCTTACAACAGATAAAACAGATAAAACAGAAATGAACCTGTGGACCTGCTATGCATGTCAAAGGGAGGAAAGGGTACACAGCTGGGGAGGCTGTATATTGAGAAGAGGCAACACTGTGCTTAGGCAAAGCACCGGAAGGGATCACAAGCAGCAAGCCGCCTTGGAGGAGGGAGAATGCGATCTGTAATAAAGCAAAGAATGGCCCTTTAGCAGCCCAATTCCCAGTGGGAATGTTAAGTCCCATTAAAATAAATGGGGCTTATTCCCAGACAAGCATATATAGGATTCATTTTATTTTAAAGTATTTCTACACCTCCTGTCCCATGCAAAATGTTTAGGTGATTGTATGTTACATGACTCCTCCTCCTCTTCTTCTTGCACTGCATTTTTATCTTGCCCCTTTTCCTCTTGTCAAGAGCCCAGGGCAGCTTACAGAGGTCCATGAGTCCTCAAAACAACAACCCCATGAGGTAGGTTGGGCTGAGAGTCAGCGGCTGGCCCAAAGTCACCCAGTTGGCTCCATGGCTGAGGGGGGACTTGACCCCGGATCTCCCAGGTCCTCAGTTCAGCACCCAAACCACCACACCACTGCGATTAGGCTAAGGGAGTATGTATGTGTGGCAATGGCCTCACCCTGGAATCGTGGGAAGGTATGAGCGTCCAGTGCAACCTGAAAGATGCAGGGAGGCGATGCTGATTTTGGCTATGCAACTGCAGCGTTTCAGAGGAGGTGGCAGGCGGCTGAGGGATGCCAGGGCACCGGATGCCTTGCAATGCTCGTCTCCTCCCTTTCCTGCCCTGCCCTTGTAATGCCCACTAAACTGTTTCCCGGAGGTTCTTGTCACATGCCCAGGGAAGCAGCTGGCACAGTTCTTTCTGCACCAACCGCAGGGTGGGGAAGGATTCTCCAGGAGCAGCGTCCCAGCTATGACATCGAAGCTCTTTTCTTGCTAAAAGTAGAACTCAGGTGAAAAAAATCCTATGGCCTGCTAGACAGCATCCAAATAACCATAGGATTGCACTGAAAATCCACAATCAGTGAAGACCAGCAATGGTGAATTAAAAACCAAACAGAAGGGTGCCACAGGTACACAAATGCCAAAGCAAATTCTTAAAATGCCTTCAGCATGTGCCTGAACTGTAATGAGGTCTACTGTGAGGATATATAGATTGTGTTAAATCCATTCCATCTGCATTTAATCAGTTCACAGGCATCCTTTGCTCCATCATCTCCTGATTGAAGGAATCAGATTTTTAAAAAGTTTCGTTCTCCTTACGCTGATTTGCATCACTAAAAAGTTTGCACTGGGGTGATGCACAAATAGTGCTAATGAACCTTACTTAATGTGAACTAACATTAATGTAAATTGGCTCAAATTCCCAACCAAAAAACTGAAAAACCAGACCACAAGCCTACAGAATCCACATGAGTCAAAGAAAAGCCAGTCTGCTGCAGAAGTTGCAGCTCAGTTTCATAAAAATATAAATTCATTGGACAACGCTGAGGATTCCTCTGACATCCCTTGCTGGCAAAAGCTGGGGCTGATATTTTGGACAGTGGGGATCATGGATGGTCAGTTTGGCTCTTTATCCATTGCACCATCACTGGAAGAGTCTCACCACAGGGAAACACCATGGTTAGCTCCTATAAAGCTCAAAATAAAAGTTGCAGTGTCTGAGTGGCCCCACTGCCTGAGGTGGGAGCCACCCATTGTCCCTGGGAAAAACCCTCTTCTTGGCAGGCAAACGCTGGGAAGGTATGGCCACAAGCACCTGCGATGATCACAGCAGAAGTCTGGCAGTTCCTCATGGGAAGCCATGTCGTCTCAGCTGTCCTCTCCAGCCCTGCATTGTTTGGACCTACATTGCTTCGACTAATGTGTTGCACACACCTGCTAGCAAATTGCCTTGCAAGAACCCCCTGTGTGTGGACATGGGAAGCAGCCTTGGAAGGAGGTCATCTGGGGTATTGGAGAAGAGGGAGATATGGCAGATGAGAACAACGGTGTAGGGCGTGAAGAGGGTGGGCAGGAAGTCTTGCTTCTCCTTCTGTCATAATGCTAGAACCCGAGGTCACCCCCTGAAATTGATGGGTGGAAGATTTGGAATCTCAGAAAGGAAGTTCTTCTTTGCAAGGTGCAAAGCTAAACTATGAAATTTCCATCCACAGGATGACCATCATTTGGAAGGAGACTGGAGAAATTCATGGGGAAGAAGGCTCTCCGGGGCTACCAGTCCTGATAGTTTGTTGCCACTTCCAGTATCAGAGGCAGTCTGCTTATTTGCTGGGGAACACGGGTGCGGGGGTGCTTTTGCACTCGTAGGCAAGTTGGTTGTGAACAGAATGCTGAACTGGTCAGATCCAGGACAGCTCTTCCTATGTTCTGAGATTACAAACGAGGAGTTAAAATTTGCAGCAAAAACTATTACACCTGGAAGATATGAAAGACCAGAACCCGAGAGACTCAACAGCAGATGTAAGTTTTCTGTTAACAGCTGCAAAGGATTTCCTTCGCCAATGTAAGACATACAGCATGGATGTCGCTTCATGAGAAAGGGAGATTTGGATCATGTTGACGAACAAAACGAGGAGCTACAGCAGTTAGGAGAGGGAAGAAGGAACTCTTCTCAGGTGTGTTATAAGAGCTGGTGTCTTTCTATTAGTTATTTGGATAGGCTTAGACCAGGAGTTTTGGCAGTTTTAGATACCTTACAGCTCCAT